GCCACCTGCTGCTGACCGATAGTCCTTAATTAAAGCTCCACCAATTAAACCGTCTTGTCAGCGCATCCCTTACCGATGAACACACGCTTCATCGAGCGTTATCACAAACTGTGATCTGCACGGGCAAACTGTAACAAACAGAAATTACATACAAAAATAAAGTAATACAAATTAGCAAAAATAATTACAATCAACTAAAGAGAAAAATTGTAATTCATAGAGCACACAATAAATATTCTCCACCTGACTTTTCATGCTTTTTCGCAAGATGATTGAAATTATATGTCGGAGAACTTGGTGTCAGGCGACTCCAAAACTACACATTCGCGATTATTAAAAGTGAGCGTGATTGCGGGATAATTTGACGTAGCGGATGAATGAGCGGACAATAAGAGCTGCGAAAGAGAGGGGGAGGGGAAGAGGGGGGAGAGATATGTAACGTGGCAGGATTGAGAATTGCGTCCTTGTCCTTGATAGTCGATATCGAGGGCGATATCCGCATTAATGGTTTGCACGAGTCGCATGAATCGAATGAATCGTACGAGTCGCATCAAGTAAGTTATTGTCGTCGACAACGTAGCTATTAAAGCGATTCGTGAATTTTCGTGCACTTTACGAATCGATCGGTGTGCCGCGATATTTTCGGTATTATCTGTAATTAGCACGATAGTGGTTGCGCGATAAGTAGTTCATAAGCCTGACGAAGAGAAGAATGGCAAAGAAAAGAATGGCGAGATAGATTTCACCGAGGTGAATCCGACGGTCGTCGGATTAATGACGCGGCTTCGTACGAGCCCTCTCAAAGATCTCCCAAAAATAAGGCACCTTTCCTTAAGGAATGGCAACGATTCGCCTTGAACTTGCGAGTGGTCGATCCGTCCGGCCTGTTTTCTCATCTCCGCAAAGTTCAGAAACGCATCGTAAGCGAAAGGGACTGGCTATTTGAGTACAGCTGTTTTGACACAGCTTCGCTTCAGATATCGTTATCGCCGTACATTCTCGGTCCTGCGCGATTATTAACATTGTTTTCTCTTTTCTTGACAAAACAACGCGAAAGATTGCCGTTTAACGGAGCTGATAAGCATGCGTTCAGGATTCAGAAGAAAGAATACAGCAGCGGCAACACCCTGATCGATAGATGAGAAACGCTCGCCGGGAGAACAAAGACCTCGCCCGGGAGTTAGACGAGTATTCAAATTCGGATATAGCGGTCCCCGCCCGAGTCGTAAATTGCATTACCGTATACCGTGCGTCTATTGCCTTTCATTCGTCGTTCGGCGTTTAAATTCAACTGCGATTAATAAACCGGATTATAAAGAAACGTTGTGCGACCAAGTCTTGCGACGAGTTCAATGCCACCTCTTTGGCAAGATAGAACGCGTTAATGCCGCGCGGATATAAATTTCGTGCGTCACGGGGGCCCACGCGAGAATAAAAAAAAGAAAAAAAAATGAATCGGAATCCGTAATTGCTGGTCGTTAATGGGCTCCACTCGCGAGCCGATGCAGAGTCGATTTAGTCCCGGGATGCAAATAAGCTCGTCGTTCTCCCTTTCTCTCCGCCCCCCCCCCCAATTCCAATATTCACAATTACGCTATCGCAAAGTAATCGCCGCACACCAAGTGCCACACCTTAATAAACTAAATTAGATTTTTCGCCGATAATCAATCACTCGCGGAACCTCCCCGGCCCCCGATTTCCAATTCGTGACCATCTGTTTTGCGCATTATTCACAAGTAGACATATTTGTGTGACGAATTGTTAATCAACAAGTCATCAAGGTGAAACCGACCGCCGCTTCTGTCGTAAGTAACATCACTCGCGAGCCCTGCGAAGAATTTACTATTTTCTCTTCCACGAGCGCAATAGAACGAAACTGAGAGTTACGCAGTGCTAAAAGTGTCGTTACACCGCTATAAATTCGACACGTTATATCGTAACAACAGGTTCGTATAATCGGCCCATTAGCTATTAGTGCATCCCGCGCGATAGTTATCTCATTATTTTTCGCGACAGATTGTTACACGAGAACGCCATTAACACGCGGAGGACAGATCGATTCTCGAAATAAGTCTTTCGTGGCGACGGAGATGATTCTTTCATATCTATGAATACTGTAGGGAATCTAAAAACTTTATTTGTATTTTAGACACATCAACGCTTTGTGAGACACCTCCGAAGAACACGCGCTAATTTATGGGACGGCTTCTGAAGATGAATACGAGTCAAACGAGGCAAACGAAAATGAAGATGAGCGACCGTGAAACGTCGCGTAAATCATGCGAAAGAACGAAAAAGCATTTGGACATTACGAAATGGATAACGGTCCGGTAATAATTACACACACAACTCGTACGATAATAAAATTATATAAATTAAATAAAAACATCAAGGCCCGTCATGCCTGTGTTGCTAATTTCGTTAATTTAAAATTAGCGATTTTTATCGCGGAATGAGCAACAAATGATGTCCTTGTTTTCGAATTAATATCGCAATATTTTCTCAATAAACATTGTTAAATCTTGCCGAATAAGGATTTCTCGCTTCGGAAAAAAATAATTTCACTGTTTGTAACGCGCAAATAAAAATGAAAAAAATTTGTTTAATATAGAAAAATCTCAGTTATAACTTGTTAAAAAAACAAACAAGTTTCTTCGAGAATGAATAGAAAAATGCAATCTTTGAATGGAGATCGTATAAAGAAGAATCGACAAAGCAATATTGAAATGAAGGAGACGGAAAAAAAGGCGCCCCTCCCCCTGTTTTCCTTTTTTCTTAACGCCTCAATCGTAACTGGTTACCGATCACTGACCTCTCGCTAAGTGTCCCGTAAGTGTTTTTCATTCGCGTAATACGAATCGCGATCGACGGCGAATCGATGCCGAAAACGATTCACTTATATCATTCAGACATAATTACGAAGAGAATATCGCGAAGGCGTTAGAGACAGCTAATCCTGTCGGGTTGATCGACACACACCTTGCCGCGGGTCTTCGAAGGGTCTTAAGACAGAATCAAGGCCACGCCACCGGTCCCAGGCTTCTTTTATGATCTCTGGTTAGTGACCCCCGCGCCCATTCCAAAGAACAGTCGGAGATTTCGGTACCGGTCCGTCCCTCTTCCTCTTCGCTTCTTTTCACTTTGCTCTCTTTTTCACTCTGTATCTCCTTCTTTCGTTTCCTTCTCTAATTTCCTTACGAGAAAAACAATAATGTATATTCATTCTACTTGTGTATTTAAATGTATACCGGATAAAGAAAATCTTACATTTGCCGAATGCATTATCTAGCGATTTTTTTAAAAACTTCTTACACGCATTGTATGTCATGGTATAGGATTGATTGGGAAGTTTTTTTGGATATTGATTGTTAACAAAAAATCCTAAGAAACTTAACTCAATACATACAATGTGCATAATGATATTACAATAATTTAAATGTTTTATTGCGAAAGTTATGTACTTACATTAAAATAAAGGATAAATAATCTCTGTGTTTGTTGCAGAATAATTAAATGATTTATATCTCTCTTTTCGTCTCTCCACCTCGAGTGAGGGATGACAATGCACACGATTTGCCATTCATCGCCAGTCGACATATCGACATGTTTTGCGAATGAGTAATACGCACAGCCAGTGATTGATATCTTTGCGAGTATCGAGAGGACGAGAGCTGAACGAGAGCAGGGAATCGTGCAACCTTCGCGAAGTCGGGTTTCCTCGCGTGGAAAGCATCCCGCGAGATTGAATACGACACTGACCCTGACAAGATTTGCATCCACAAGCGAGACTGCAACGAGACAAGCGCTCGTAATGCTCGCAACTTTTCTGTAATGATAGCTCTCGTCGACGGCGCTTTGGGCACGCGCGCCGATCGAGCCTTGATGCGTCCTGTAGAGAACGAGCGAATTAACCATTAACAAATATAATACAGTCTTTCAGACTTCTGTGGCACAATAAATGTGGCTATAATTAATTTGACTAATTAGTAAAATTGTAAATCAAAATACAAGAGGTCGAATTTGCAAATCTTACAATACTAACAAATATTTCTTTAAAGAAATCATGTATAAATTCTATGATGCTAGTTTAACAGATTGGTTTCTAAGTGTGAAAAAATGTTTGCCTCCACTTTGGCAAGAACTTGGCAAAACAAATACCTTTCTTTTTAATTCGCTTATTTCTTGCCATCAATTGTGCGTAGACTTTTGGCAAATCGAAAAGTAGGCTCCGATGGAAGTGAGAAAATAAAATTAAAAACAGAACGTCTCGAAAATTAAAAGTGGAATGTGAGCATACACCTGCCGGTTATTCCATGATTATTAACTTTTCCTTTGTGTTAATTATTAACGGTAGCGTGCTGTCTTTGTGAAAATCTCTTCCTGTCCCAGGAAGAACAACAGGTCTAAGAACCGTCTAATAGACGTCTATTAGACGTTTCTTAGACCTGTTGTTCTCCCTGGGGTTATACTTTCAAAATAAATTTATTGAAATTTTTATCCAACTAGACGAAATATATAAGAAAATTTCTCCTTATTGCGACAAAAGTGATAAAAATAACAATTTTATTTTACAAATGCATCAGAAAAACCTGGCTCGACATACCTGTCGATTAGTTGATTGGCGTAAACTTTTTTTTAAGATTAAAGGAATAATAATAAAATTAATAATACATACACATCGATGTATTTCTTATTTAGATCTCTTCCTTAGACATGTCAATCTGTAAACTTTGTTTAAAAAAAAAAAAAAAAATCCACGCTTTACATGGCGACTTAAAAAATAACCGTGAGTAATCAAACACAGAATTCTTACGCTTCGGTGGGATTTCTTTTATATAACTTACTAAAGGAAACGCAGCACAATTTCCGCGATGATCGGAAAGACATCTGTCATACGCAGAGCCCATCGTCAACCTACATTTTATCTGTCAAGAGCAGATTTCAACGAAGGGTAGTCGGTATAAAAGAAGAGCGTCTTCCGCAATCGCGGTTGCACATTCATGCACACTGTGTTCGCGAATCAAATCAAGTGTATCCGCTTGCACGAACGACACCTACTGCAAATCGGCACTTCCGATATAGTTGTGAATATTATATATATTTTTATTATATTTATTATTCGTTGATAGTTGGATGTATTTATATTATACAAATGCAAATTTTATATTTTAAATAATCAAATATTTATTTCGATCAAATTTAATTTATGATTAAAGTACTCGCAACTTGATGATTGCTAACAAATTTTCCACTTTATTTTTAAGACAACATTCATCAATGGCTAACTACGCGAAGTACGTTGCTGCTATCGTTATTATCATTGGCGTCGTTTGTGAGCAAGCGTTCGCGGGCAGTGTTCTCGAGGATGCCGACAGGAACGTTCTAGGATTGAATGTTCCGTATGGTAGAGGATTGGTAAGTTTTCATCCAAGGAAAAGCCGAATAAAAATTAAGAGACGCTTAAAATTTAACTAGTACAACATTTATCACGTTTCGAAAGTATATTGGACACGTCGCCGTGAGGCGAGATAAGAGAATTGATTTACAACCGATCGACATCATTTACATTGATTTACACTTTCTCGGACGAAGGATATTACTTAAGCGATGACATAAGCCTGAGAAAAAAATAAAATGGGTGTCATTTAGTAGCAGCATAACAGTAATAATATAATATTATTAAATAGGTTCGTTTATCAAACAAAAAAGTTTATATCTAATAATTGTGATTTTTTTTTTCAGGACAGTGAACAACTGGCCAAATTGTTGCTAGCAGCTCCACGATTTTGTCATCCCAAACGCAATTCCGAGCTCATAAATTCGCTGCTGGGTCTACCGAAAAATGTTAATAATGCCGGAAAATAAAAGTGATCTCATCTAACTGAGCAAGATGTTTACAATATTTCGTAGCTTATCCACTGTAGAGTACACAACATTAGAATAAAACATTTAGAAAAGTGGTATAGAACAGAATTTCAGTGATGTAGTTGAGTATGAGAGTCATCGACTATATAAAATGTAAATCGATACCAATAAACGGAAAAAGATATCTAATGAATTGTCATAGTTACATTTTGGTTCATCGATACCTATTTTTGCTGAAAATGTTGCCAAATAATTATTCAAGTTGCATCTATATGATAAATTCCCTTAATAATTTTGTTGAAAAATTGGAGAATCAAACTGCTATAATTTGAATGAAGTTTACTGTACATATACTATACCTTTCTTTATCTGTTCAAAGAATGAGTCTGAGAAGATAGAATTGTTTCTTAAACCGCTTAAATGAGTATATGAAATTCGAATGTATACTGATAGCTTCAACTAAATGGTTTCTTCAGTTAACTTGTTTAACTCTCTCTCTCTCTCTCTTTCCTTCTATTTAATCTTTGTAAGTTAGGATGTAATAGAAATGAATAATTCCTGGAATAGAAGATAAAGGATTTTTTGTCGTTGGCAATTCTTGAAAGTGTTATAATGAATGATAACTCTGTTTATGATCATTTATATTATTCTACACAAAACAATAATACGCAACACGTATAAAAGTGAGGAAATACTGAATTTATTTATAGATATGTAATATATATGGAAATGTCCTCACAATTTCTTCCTTTTTCTGCAACAGGAATGACATACAAAATTTATGTACTCATTACGCACATAAAGAAAACCTAAAATACGTATTTTATAAAT